ATGCACAAGGAGACACCTTAATTCTGTGCCATACAAGGGCTGAAGGAACCAGCTCTGGTCAGTAGAGGTGTATTCAGCGGAGCAGACACTTACTTGTTCCTTACTGGTTCCCAAGGAATTCCTCTCATGACCCTTCCCCCTTCCTTCACCCTTGCAGAGGGCAGCTACAAAGATAAGGAGTCTGCAGTGGGGGGGAAGCTTTGGTCTATTGACTGCACAGGAGTTGCATTTATTTGCTTCTGACTCCTTCACTTTGTGCATTGACCTCTGCAAAAGCCTTTCTTCAGTTTGTGATTATTGAGAATTTTACATTAATAGTAGAGTTGGGTTTTAATTTGGAGGATTGTTATTTCTGTGTCAGTCACCATAAATCACTTTGCATCTGTATTACTCTTTTCAAGCACATAATTCACTTTTTTTGAAAGTATATGGTATTTTTATCCAAAGAAGATGTGCCTTTTTGTAAACTTGATTTCAGCAGATATCAGTTCCCTAGATGAGGAAATACCCTTAAAAAATAAAAATCTGTCTCGGAAGCAAAGTTGCATTGCTTATCTCTATATATTAACCACTAACAGCCATCTGAGGTAAAATGGGAAGCACCCTCTTTCTGTAACGCTGTGACAGAGTACATGGGGCCTTTTTTGCCAGTCTGTGTTTGTACTCCAGCTGGTTTATCCCTCCTGCACTACCTTTGACTTGTATGTTTAAAATACCATTGCCAGTTACTTTGCTCTAAATACTCTAGATCAATGGCTTAAGGGATTAGCAGTATATTGACTTTACATCAGAACAGGATTTGTTCTATTGCTAAACTCAAACACAAATTAGAAGGATAAAAATAAGCTGGAATGTTACTAGATGTACATATTCCAAAAATTCTATTATTTGAAAGAAAAGTAGTATTGGCATACCTGATATTCAAAATACTGGCTTCAGTACAAAATCAAATGTTGAAAGCATCTGGATATGCATTACCTTTACCATTTTGTAAAATCAAGTTTCCCTTGCCTTGTTCCCTAGAGTGCCCCAGCGGTCCTGACATCATTCCCATCGTAGCTGGTGTAGTTGCTGGAATTGTTCTTATTGGACTTGCATTATTATTGATTTGGAAGCTACTAATGATCATTCATGACAGAAGAGAATTTGCTAAATTCGAAAAGGAGAAGATGAATGCCAAGTGGGATACGGTAAGTCAAGAGGCTTCTCTGTGTATAAAAGCTGCAGTAGCAGAGAAGAATAGAAGGTTTTTGTTTATGTGGCTTAAGTGTTTCAGATTGTAACCAACCCCCTTAGAGAAGAACTACTTGAGTTAGAAAGGGGAGTAGTAACTTGGGTTTAAATAGCATTTCAGAGAGAAAATGTGACAGCATAATTCAGCTTTACAGTTCTACCACACATAACAATGTATTATTGAAATATTTATTAGAAAGATGAGTAACTTCTGTATAAACAGAGAAGAAACTTTTGTGCTCATTGAGGAGATCTTGTAAATACTCACACAGAGTTGAATGAGTAAATACTCATTGGGAGGCTTCAATAAAAGTCATGGCTGGTACTGGTGTGTTGAAATCTTCCCAACTCTTTGTCAGCAGAGAAGTGTGCAAGAAAAGCAAGCCCATGGTCTATAGGTTTTCATAGGCTACTGGTTGCTGCCTCTGGGAAATGTTAGGAACTTTCTAATCAAGAACCCCTTCAATACAATTCTGTAGAAGGCAACTCCCACGTGTGCTTGATGAGAGAATACTTAAAAAAAATGTCCTAGGAGGCCTTTTGGTTTTATTTAAGAAAATTAATTAATTCTGTTTTGGGTAAAACAAAATTACTAACACTTTTCTGTATATATATATATAGCATGATTTTTTTCAGTGATAGTTGAGAATGTTACTCTTTTTTTTCTCTTGTTGAATTATTCGATATTGACCATTTCTTTTACTTCAGCAAGAAAATCCAATATACAAGAGCCCTATTAACAATTTCAAGAATCCAAACTATGGACGTAAAGCTGGTCTCTAAGTCTCAGTTTGTATCTCCTTTCATTTTCTTTCTTTTTTTCCCCTTTGCATGTCACTTCAAACTCACTGTGTGTCACAGTCAGTTAATCACAGTTTATGTCTTACTCAGTTTATCTACTGCTGCTTTGAGTGTGGGGTTTTCAAGAATGCAGCTTGAAAATTTTTAACTGGTTTTGACAACTAGATTACTTACTTACTAATATTACCAATACTGGCTTAAACTATTCTACAAGTGATTATTTTTATTTTATTTTTTTGCTAAATGTGTGAACAGCTCTTAGATTGTGGAGAGACAGAGGGGGAGGCTTTATCTTCTATTTCCTCAAATCAGCGGTCAGTTTGCTTTAATTTGATATATTTGCTAAGATAGATTAGATACTCGTAAGATGTCCCAGCCTATAAATATCACTGTTTTTATTAGAATAACTCTGGGAACATTCAGAGTAGCCTTACAGATTTTTCCTTTTTTGTAAACTTCTTCATCTTATTAATCATGAAATGCATATACTCTACTAATTTTAAATTAAATATGCATCTTACTTTTTTTGTCCTTATTTCTATTGACACAGGCAATATCACAGTCCTTGTAGCCCAGCCAGCTTGAGGGTGTCCATAGGAAAAAACATTGATGGGAGAGGAGGAAATGTTCTTGTCTTCTCTAGATGCATTTTCCACTTGTTTTCTTAAGTCCCTCTTAAACTCTACCTGAGCGCCTCATTTCTGTTTGGAAATGCTGAGTTCAGTTTTCTATACACCCAACACACCAGAAGAAACAGCAGGATCCAGGAGAGCAAGTCAGTAAAGCAGAAGTAATGAGTAGTTACCTTTTGTAGACTTCAAGGTTTCACTTCCTTGGGTGCTCTAGGTGTTCTCCTCCTTCCCTGGGATCCCCAGCTGCTCAGGAAGGAATGAGAAAGGGAGGATGAGATAGGGAAGGGATGTCAGAAGAATACTGAGTGATAAGTAGTACAGAGATCAGATTAGAGGAAGGGGAATGAAGAAACTGGGAAGGCAGCACATCCCTTAAATATCCATAGATTTTCTTCAGAAGCCAGTGGAAGGGATGATCTCTATCTCTAATTTTGTACTGTCTGCTGTCTCCCTTTTTCAGTGTTGCACTCAAAAGATTTTGTAAAGAAAAAAATGAGGGGAGAAAGCAGGAATTGAGAGAATTTAGGTTTTTACTTGTTCTCACTGTGACAAAAATTCCAAAAAGTACTTTGTCTAGCATTCTGAGCCCTTCCTGATGAAATACACTTTCCTTTTCTCTTTGCATTCGTTTCACTTTCCAGTGTGTCCAAAATGGATTGTAGAAACGTTCATTTTACTTGCTACATTGACCACATTCACTCCTTTTCATTTTTCTTCTCAGAGTCCATTATTCTGGGGAGGAAATTGAGTTCTTGGTCCTTTCTAACACTTCACATACTCCATCTGGTTAAGTCTCTGTTACCTGCCCTTCTGCTGTTCTCTTAGCTGTATACTTTCTGTTGCATGCAGGACAAGCATCTAACAAACCATATGTTGTGTAATTTCCATGCTCTCATTCTCTACTCTGTGCCTCTTCAGGATATAATGTCTTTAGTGCTACCAGTTCTCCTGAAAACGTATTTCCTGCAGAAATCTTTCCTCTTGTGTAAATGGAGAGGTGGACTTCTGCCTTTTTGTTTCACTCAGATATGAGAATGAAAAGTATGAAAGAGTGTGGGGTTTTTTAAACATGACTTTATCATTTTTGGATAGAAATATCAGAACTCTGGGGAGAAAGGAAGATTGGTTTAGATTTATCGACCCTAGAAAGGAGGAGGTCAATATTGGCAGAACAGGTGACCCACAGGACGTAAAAGAAAGTCCTCCTTTTTTCCATAGCTAAGATTTTCTGGTGGTTTTAGATTATTGCCAAAGCTTTTCATTTAAGTGAAGAGTTGCCTTGTATCACCAAGGCAAAAAAGTCATCTGAAATTCCATTACAAGAAAATTACATCGCAGTAGGTTCCCTGCTGTGCACATGTGTATAAAATTAAATTAGCTTTGTGCAGGTTGTGTGACCATTCCCTGGTCCCACAGCCATCATACACACACGGGCTGGGGCTCTGTGGTGAGGGAGCTGCAGCACGTTGTCATGATCCAGGTGCCCAAGTACTTCCCTGGTGCTGGTCCCTGATGTTGCGAAGGACGTCACCGCAGCATCCTTGGGGCTGATGCTCGAGGCAGCTGGGTCGAACCATGTTTGCCCGTGTTCTACCCCAATCAGCCATGAAGGGTTTGGTGCAATCATGCTTGGAACAAGTCTAAGAAAGGATGAATTCCTTCTGGACTGAAAAGCTACATCACAAATTTAAAACCCAAACCTGCTATTTGTAGTGAATGCCATTTACCACTCCTACTTGGGGATAGCTTGTGCATTGCTAAGCATCTTCAAACAGACTCCACATTCAGTCATCTTGCATTTCACAAGTGATAAATTCATTTATATGAGATACTAAATCTGTAGTAATTTGGCTAGCCTAATTAGCAGCTACTGATAAGAATAAAAACCCACAAACAATTCAAGGCACTGAAAATCAGAGGGATGTGTTCTCCTAACTTAGATTTTTATGTCTGTAACTTACCTTGCTGATCAGTGATGAACATATGCTGAGTGTGGGAACAGAGATGCCATATTTTCAATTGCTTTCATATCAATTATTATATTCAATTAATCCTGATTTGTGGCACCAAAGATAGATAGAAACTATATTAAACCACTTATTTTTGCCTTTATTTATTTTTTCTTTACTTTACAACTCAGTACCACTAGAGATGTAGCTGTAATCACAGCTGGTGGCCTATTTAGTAATGCAGCGCAAAGAGGGGATGTAGATGGAATAACAGCGGCCGTGCCCTCAGGGCTTTTCCCGCTGTTCCCGCCGGGCTCCATCCCGGGAAAGGGCTGGAGCGGGGCGTGGCGCCCTCTGGCGGCCTCCCGGCCCCTGACCTGGGCCTCGCCTCTTTCCCTGGAGCCGCGGCGTGTCCGGGCGGCCCGGCCCTGTGTTCCTGCCAAATAGCGCTGGGTGTTGGTGGGAGCTGGAATGGTCAGAACCAGCTCTTGAACAATGCCTGTGGATGAGTTTAAATACTCCGGAGTCCAGCTTCTTACAGTGGCCTAGCTCTTAAACCCACTGTGAAGGTGACTTAAGTGACTGTTGAAACAATAAGTCCCTGGAGAGAAAGGAAAAAGAAGGTGACTCAAACATCCTATATAATAGGTTCATCTTTATGCAGCACTGAACTGAACTGTTGTCCTCTGAACAGCCCATTCTAGTTGAAAGTGAATACTGTTGCAAAAACATAGCTCTTTATTCGTGGCTGAAAGTACTTTTTAAAAGTACCTCCATCTTTATTTTAATGTATGTCACTCAATCTTATATATAGCTATTGTTTTTAATTATGGTTTAAGTGTGCATGGAGTTCTTAGTTATAGGGGCATGTGGTAAATGTGTTTTCCCTAACTTTGCATGCTTCAACCAGTGTGTTCTCTGCAGTGGCATAAAGAAAAAGGGTTTATTTAAAACCAGTAGTGTTTGTCTAAGACAGCAAGTTTGTTTTAGTGGCCAGTTAAAAAACTGGGATGCTGCTAATCTTGGAAAGTTTATACCCTATGCCAGCTGTGAGGGGCCCTAAGCGAGATGAGCGTCATGCTGGATTAGTAGATATTTATTTTAATGATGAACTGTCTGCAGAAAACCCTGCCAAGCCAGGCCCAAGACAGGGTGATGGAGTATGGCTGGAACAGCCAGGGCTGTTGCTGTCTAACAGAAGAGAGCAGGGAAGGAATTGCAGATCCATCAAGTGCCTGTGTTGTGGTTATAGGCAGTAGAGCCTTAAGAGCCATTTAGCTGATCAAGTGTCAGGCTGAACAGTCGTGAATATTGACTAAATCTCCATTATTTGTAATGGGAACCAAGACACTCACCTGACATATGGAGACACTCAGTCACGTGCTTTATTCAGTGACCTAAATCCTACTGTGTGCTTCTGAGAAGCACAAGTACAAGGGAAGGCAGGACAGTGTTTCAATATTCTTGTAAATAGGGCTTATGCTAAATAAAGAGCATGTAAATTTCAAATTCTAACTTCAATTCAAAGTATTGTAGTAAAAAATTTACAACCTTATTATGCAAATTGTATTTTAAGCCTGATTCCAGGTTCAAATTAGTTGTATGAATTCCACCTAGCAAATTTCTAAGCTTTAGTCCTAATCTTTAGACCCATTCCTGCACTATCTGATAGAAGTTATCTCTCTTTTACAAACTAGAAAGTGTAAGCATATACCTTCCCTTTTGTGCTGGGGATAGTCTGTTTTGTAAACTGTTGAAGGTTAAAAGCACCATATAGCAAGTATTACATAATGCCTTGCCATAGAAGAGCTGTACAATAACTTCTAGTCTGCATATGACACAGCCTATTAAGCTCAAAGACTTTCTCTGCATCATAAACTTTACTGATTTATATTTATATTTTTAAGAATTCTCCATTAAAACTTGTCAAGGAAATAAACAATGTACATTGCCAAGAACTTTGAGACATAATGAGATACTTCAGTTGCAGATTAAATCCCTCATCCCTGCATGTTTTTCCAGTTTTGTTTACATCTTACTATTGCAAAGCTTTTTACTGAAAATATTGGGGTAGGTCATAATTTTGCATTGATTAATTAGTCTGGCTAAGAACTAATCACATCACACTATTTCTATGATTTACAATAAAGAAAAGAACAACCAAACATAATTCCCCATCCATTTCCAGACCAGTAGCTGATACACTTTTAACTAAGACAGCATTTGCCTGGGAACTGCTAGAAGGAAGAAGGGTCTTTTACTGTTACACTGTATTTGTGAAGGACAGCCAGCACTGGACACCCAGTTCTTCCTTCATCTCTGTCCAGATGGCATTGACTCAGATCTTGAGAAGAGTGAACAGAGAACCTTGACTTCCATTGTCCAGCAATCCAGGTGCTGGTTGGACGAGTCTCTGGGGTCTAAGCAGGATTGGATACACCTCCTTGGTGTTTGCATGTTAAAGAAGCTGGCTTTGAGGAGAAATACCCTTTTCCTGTGAAAGGAACACAGCACCAGCTACATGGTCCTCCTCAGCAGCAGCTATGGTTGTTGGGGTAGCCCAGTTAACTTGACCAGGTCTTGCAAATAGAAGGCAACAAACTTCCCAGGAACTGTGATATGAAAATTTCACACCAAGTTAGTTACTTGCTTGCCTTGTCATTTCTGGCACATTCTGTGGTATTCCTAGTTGATTTTCCAGGTTTATGACCCTGAAAAGTAGACACCTGGTGTTTGTGTGTCCTTTGATTGACTGTAGGAAAGATTGGTTTAACCTGAAATATTTTAAATGGTGTGTAACTTTAAATAGAGTTGAATTAATATGGTAATATAGGCCATCTCAGACCAGGGGGGGGAACCTTAAAGGGAGAGAGATTCCCTTACTGCTGAAGAAGGCCAGATACAGCCCTGGCCACAACAGCACTCCAGCTGACAACTGCACTGTGCTGAATTTTCTCAGGAATTATTTGTGTATGCACAGAAGAGCTTCATGCTGGCAAACAACATTCATTTAGGTTGACGTTCAGGCTGTGATAAGAGCTCAGCACTGCAGCTCCAGGCTGTACCTCACAGTAGCCCTTCCTCCTGCAAAGATTTATCTGTTCATTTTCTGTTCAGTCTGTTCGTCTGAGGTGTACAAGGATGTCATAAATGGAGTAAGATTTACTGAGATAGAAGGAAACCTGGGAACAAAGGAAGCTTAAAATAAGCTTAATTTAGAGGTTTTTAAATCTCAGCAACAGCAATGTAAGCAGTTGTTCTGTAGGCTTGTCTCGTGTCAGTAGAAGTAATGTTTTTATTACAGCGTCTGCACCAATACAGAAGTTTCTTTGTTTTATCTGTGCATTTTGCCCATATGGGGGGTGGGGGGACCTGCAGAAATAAAATGAGAATGACAAGTACTGAATGTTCAATATAAATAGTGACTGTGTATTAGCAAAACACTAGAAGTCTTTCCGCTTTGTTTCTAGAATTAAACTGTAATGTGAGATAAGCTATTTAAATGCTTATTATAGCAGAGCGTGGTCTGTGGTCAGTCTCGGTGTCAAACAATGTTGTTTACAATTCTACGCTTCCTTAAAAACACTGCCCTGGACTGCAGAGCCCTGGGTGATGGCTCAGCCCTGAGATGAGCACAGAGGTTCAGCTGCCTCCAAGGAAGTGTGTGGTGCAAACAAAACAGGATCGTTCTAACCCTTTGCTTTATTGATCAGCTGCGCATGCCCTGGCTCAAGTTGTTAGGGGGAAAACTAGTTTGACTTGAGCTGTTTGTGTGTACAAATGAAACATTAATGGGGAATTTCTTAAGCTAATTGTTACACCTCTTGCAAACACCTTGTTTTTTTCATCTCTTTAAATGTTAATATGAGGATTTTTTTTCTTTTTCTAGGGTGAAAATCCTATTTACAAGAGTGCAGTGACAACTGTGGTCAATCCTAAGTATGAGGGAAAATGAACACTGCTTGTATGACTTCACAACACTGTATGCAGCATAGCAATTTTTGTAGTCACAGTAAGATAGATTTAGGGCAAACTGCGGTGATTTTACTAATTCATTACATATAGGTTTGTTTTCCTGTGTGAAAATGTACCATATGTAATTTTTTACTTTTAATTTTATTTTATTTTTATTGCAAGTAAAAGTAATTGGTGCCAGAGGTTGGACAAAAAAAAAACTTGAGACTGTGTAGCCTAGACAGCCCAGGTCACGTGGTGCCTTTCTGACCTTTCCCATTCCCGTGCTGTGAATCCAGATCTTCTGCAGGGCACGATACTATATGGAATGACAGGGAGGGAAGGGATTAAAGCAATCAGCATGAGGGCTCTGCCTAGCCATTTAGTATTAAATTTTTTAGCTTTACAGGGAAATCAGGGCTTGAGTTTGCAGATGTAATTAAACTTATGTAGCATGGAGCTGGTGGGTAATTGGTCTTCGAATTGCTAGATGTGTGATTAAGTACATGTTAAGTTGAGGAAGCTGGAAGTGGGCAGTGTAAAAGACTGAAAAGTGTGTGCATACTTATCTTTGTTTTTGAAGTTGCTTATTGCCAGGTTATGGTTAAAATGAAAGCATTTGAGAAGAATGTTAAGAGGGAAAAAATAGCTTTAAAACACGTGCCATTACTGAAAAAGTTGCTGACTGGTAACTTGCTTAGTTTTATTTTGTAAATTCAAGCCCTGGGTGGCAGTATCATGAAGTACCTTACCAAGACATCCTCAGATCACCTAAGGGCCTTACGTGATGCTGTGTCTTTATTCTGTAATGTTTTATTTGAAAGCCTGGTGCTTTGTCACCCTTCTAACATTTTTAATGTATTTGGTTGCAATTCTTTTTGTAATATTTTTGTATCGACACAAGCTTTTTTTCCTTTTTTTTTTAGCAGTCTTAGCTGTAAATTTGCCTTTACCCTGTAGCTAAGATTGCATAGTTTGTCATGTGATGAGTCACATCATTCTTGACATGTGCCATGTACATTTGCCTCTGACCATTCAAACTGCATCATAGTCATATTCTTGTTTTAAGTGCCTTTTTCTGTTAACAGATGTTCACTTTTTACAGTGCTATTACTGAAGTTATTTATTAAATAAAAGTACCTTAAAATACTTGGATCTCGTCTCTTTATCTTGTAGTAGTTGATACTACTCAAAAAACCTGAGAATTTTGTCTGCACAAGAGGTAATAGACATTGTAATAATGCCAAATATGTCCTGAGAAGAGTTAAGTTGAAATGATCTTGGGTAACAAACAGGAGCTGTTGTATAAATGCCCACAGGCCGGGTCAGCGCTGTGTTACGTGCAGGGGCTGTGGATGTAAAGCCCCTGGCGTTCATTTGCATGTGTGCTAAAGAAGTTTTGTAGTTTAATCACTACTCCAGCAAATGGGCTCTTTGGTTAATACTCTTTCACAACACATGAAAAATGAGAAAAAACACTGCATTTTGTAGGAAAATAAGGTCTTCTGAATTTTTTTTAAGAGTATAATGTTCTAGGTAGATTATCAAAGCACCTTTGTAATTAAATACATTCCTAAAGTATATTCCTGGAATCTCTATGATTCCTTGGGGGTTTTTTAACTTTTGGTACTTCAGGTTATCCTGAGACACTATGGGGATCTGTTCTGAACGGCCCTGTTAACACCCATCTGAGGGCAGGAGAGTCTGGTTTCCATGAAGTGGGAGGGGGGATCGAGGGAGAGGTTGGGCTCGGTGTGTGTGTCTGTCTGTCTGTCTCCATGTCTCTATGAGGGAAGCAACTGGAGATAAGAGGATTCAAGGGCTTGATACAAGGTAGACTCCACACGGTGGGATGTGCAAGGGGGCAGGTTTGCAGCAGCCACTGGAGCAGGGCAGGCACAGGTGGGAGCAGTGAGGGAGAGCAGAGACGCAGGGGCAGCTGCTGGACAGACTGAGTGTGCCAACCCAGCCACGGGAGGGATGGGCACTGCAGGGATGTCTGCACTTCCCACTACTGGGCCTTCCTCCTGGGCAGTGGGAAAGGCGACGGGGAAGAGGCCCTTGGTCCTGTCCCTGTTTCCCCGAGTGCTGTGCTCTATCTCTGGTGCTCTGTGTGTGTTCATGGATGTTCTGTGCACGTGAGGGTGCACCTGCCTGCACAGGCTCACTGGGAATACACCCTTCAGCTCACTACATGATGGACCTGGGGACATGGAGCTGCTGCAGTTCTTGCTTCCTTTGGCCTACTGCGTTTGGCAAGAGGTACATTTTCTGATGGTTGGTGCAAATGAGAGCAAACTCACTGATGGGAAGAAGCTGTGCCATGTACTGCTCTGGGTTGGTTCTTACATCATAAAATGCTCTTTCTGTATTGCCTTTCCACCTCAGGGAACCAAACCAGCCTGAGATACCATCTAACCTGGCACAAGATTAGATACCAGTGGGAGCTGCATCTGTATGTACAGCTCATGTTGTCTGTTCCTCTTCATGCTGACTTTACAGAACTGCAACTTGACTGTCTCCACAATAGATGAGATTTGAACATATGAATATTAACCTCCCTTCCTGGTGTTTCGGTCACTTCTCCAACAATACTGAGGATTTTCAATAGCTCCATAAGAAAAAATGCAGAAATTTCTTCTAAACACATTCTGTATTATTTGGCCATGAAAACTGAGACAAAGCAGCTTGAACAGAAAAGATAATTTCTGACCTTTATGGCTGTAGCTTTGTCAACATTCTACAAATATTAATCCCAAATTTCTGGTTCGGACTGTATCAAAGTCCCCTTCAGATCTGTCTTTTTAACTCTCCATCTTTCCCAGACTGCAGAGAACACTGGAATCCTGAACTATCCAGAATTCATGTCCCACAAGAAGTTGACCTTTAGGAACATTGACCCCTATACAGCATTACCAGTCCTCTTAAATTAAGCAAATATTTAATTATGTGTGCATTAACCTGGTTGTGTCCACTCATTATGTTACATGTTCTGCAGTTTTCTTAACTAGTCTGGTTTCAAAATGCTTGTGTGGATTGGTAGATGGCTTTTTCACAAAGGTGCTGAAGGCTTTGAATTTACGGTGCCCATTAGAGAGTTTTTTAAACCCTTGTTTGAACTGGGTTTCCAGTAGCCACTTCCAGCCAGATGGAAGCTGCTTAATATCTCCAAGTGAACAGTTGATTAAATGAGAGAGAACAGCTGCCATCCTACAGGATCAGATTCAAGATACTGTGTCACAGATTGTAGGATTTGCTTTCAAGTGAGATTAAATGTTCCAGCTAAGAGAGAAGGTGTAGTTCAAATATGATAAATTTTAAGTGCTGGAAACCAGAAGTAGTTGTGAATCCTTCTTGGCTTGTAAATACTGACCTCAGCTACTTACCCTGAATTCTGCCAGTTGGTGAAGCAGTGAACTCTTACAGTAAATATCAACAGTGCATCAACTCAAGAGGCTCTGATCCCAGACAAGGCAGATATAAGATCCCAGCAGTGTATCTGTTTGAAAAGAATTACAGTTAATGTAACCATAGTCTCACTATCCTTAATCTATCCATTTCCCCAGCTCCTGTCTAGTAACTGAAGAGCTAAGCTAGAATTGCTTTATGACAGCTATTAATAAACAAGGTTTCTTACCCTAGATTGAAACTACAATGACAAAAATACAAGTCAGCTAAAGAAAATAATTCTCTGTAATCATGTAATTTATTAAGTAACATCCATGAACTGACTTTACCACAATGTGTTGAGCCTCCTGCTTAAACTATCTCTTGGCTGCTTGAAAACTAGTCTTTGCAGTCTCTTGAGCACCTACATATGAGGAAGTCTCAACTGATAAATATATGATCCCCTTGGGATGATGATTTTTTTCCTTTCCTGCATAATTGCACTGGTCTACAATATGACCATGTTTTCTTTTCCATAACAAATACAAATTCATTCTCAGAGAAGCACAGAATGTGAATAGGAAATAAAGGAGAAGCTTTTCTTTGAGTAAAATATTGATCAAGTAGAAATCGTAAAAGAGTATGTTCTAGCTACAAAATTCTACTATTTAGAGGATGTTTTCCAAGCACTTCTGATTTTCTTCCTGAAAAATCAGAATTGCTGCCAAAGCATCTAGCAGGATGAAAATATTTATAAGCAAGTGTGAATACAGATTGCTGTAAAGTAATTCCAATGAATGTTCATTAATGATAATAAATGCATTAAACCCATCTCAATAAAATGGATAAATTGCAGCTAGAAAAAAACGCCATAGGGCATAATTTTAAATAACTTGAGAATATTTGGGTTGAACATTAATTTTAGACAAATTTTTAAGGTAATTTTTTAAAAAGAACATATTAGAAGTAAACTGATGAGTTTCATACAGATCAACATAGGAAATAGCTTCTAAAATACAGAAAAATAAGTCAAATATGCTGGCAGTGGAAAATTATTAGAAATATTGTGTTTTTCTATTCTTCATAGTATAGCAATATGAACTGTCTCACCTTGCTTTAATAGCGCATTACACAAAATATAAGTATTTTTATCCATGAGAGGTTTAAAAGTACTGTATTGTAGATTCTTTGCTTTGTGGATTTTCCAGCTCTTGGTTCTGTGCCACAGTTTGGATTGCTGAAGCAGATGTCAATATACACTTAAAATATGATCTCACCTTTAAATTATTTAAAGAGCAAGACTTCTGTTGTCAGTCTTACACTGCAAACTGCTGAATATTCCTTTACATATGTGATACTTTTTCTTGCTATTTAAAAGTTGCAAGCTGCATCTTCTCAAGATATTAATTACCAGCTAAAGGTGTCACTTGGTGAAGAGTGAGCCTGCAAATGAAAGTGTAGGTTATCCCCCACATACACAAAGTGTTGTGGGTCAGCTTCTAATTCATCTGTTGACCACAGCCTGCTTTTTTCCTTTGCTCTCTGCTTCCTAAGGACGTGGTACACCAAAGGAGAGACTGGAGCTGAGTGCGTTGGCCAGTGTTGGTAACGGGGTGAATGTCGAGAAGCAAAACTTCAGAGCACAGAATGAATTCGAGGGATCAGGGGAATTCCTTTGGGGCGGGGGGAAGCAGAGCACAGGGCAGGCGGGGGAGGGAGGAGCCGGAGCACGGGAGAAAGAAAGGGAAATCCGGCTGTTTTTCTTAAGTCCCCCACACTCCTCCAGCTACATGGTGGCGTTCATGTCCTTTTACAAAGTTACTGACTTTGCAATTACCAATGAATATGTGATTAAATGGCTTGTTGTCACATTCTCAACTTTTTGCAAGCTCTTCAAATTTCCTTCTCTTTCAGCAATCAAAATTTCTCCTTTCCTGATGAGTTCATCATGAGTTCTCCTATAAAAAGCAGAAAATTTTGCTGTATATCTCAGAAAAAAATTACCAGAACAGCTCTATAAAGTGAAAACTGAGGTACATGGAAAAGAAATGTTTGTATTCCCTCAACAACACTATTACAACAATACAGAACAGTAAATATAGATTAATCAAACCATTGCATTTCATTAAATAAAGTAAATAATGTAAAAAATAAAATTAATTAACTGGTTTTTTCCTTATCTATGATTTTATTTACCTTTTATTTTAGCATGGGGCAGAGACAAGTTAAATAAAATTAAACATAAGTCTGTACCTGAAGTGTCATAGTTTTTATTCTAGAAATATTTCCTAACCAAAGCACAGCTCTGAGAATAATCAGTCGCACAGTCATGGTTTTTAATGGATAAGGAGCACAGGCTCAGAATCAAGGCCTACTTCAGAGTGCCATGTAAAAAAGAGGCATCAAAAACCAATAATTCAGATCAAATGCATTCATTCTTCTAAACAAGTGGTAGTCTGAGAAGTAAGATGGGGTAAGGGGTAGAATGAGGATGCTGACATAGCATATCAGAATAATAATAAGAAAATCAGAAGAATATGAGAAACTCTAAAAAGATGACGATAGGATATTATCATTGCAATACTGATAAAAGTCAAACCATCTTCTACAGTAATGCCAAATTGCAGAATGGGAAAATATAAATAAATTAACTCAAGGGGGTAGCTACAACTATGTTTGGATGGAGCCACCACATTATTCTTGGGCACCAGAGAACCTGTTCAAAGATGACTTTAGAAAGATCACACAAACAGAAGAAGGATGGATTAAGCAAACAGTAAAACCATCTGATCAAAGTAAGAAGATGTCCTTGAAAATGCTGAATTGCATTTAAATGAAGAATATAAAAAAGAACAGAAATTTAAACATTAAAAGTATGCTAAAGAGGATTTAGTGCCTCGTGGAAGGCACGAAAACTGATAAATACACTGGAAGAAGAAGCCTGGCACTGAGATTAGGAAGGACAGTTGGAATAAGAAATAACAGAATATGTAAACTCATTCTTTGCTTATACATTCCCCATCAGAGGGCAAATACCAGAGAAATTATTCAAAATAAAGTGTCAACAAAATATTCTAGAGAGGAATCAACGAAGGAATAGCAGCAAACTGTCAAAAGCCAATGTTAATCATTTAAGAAGGCTTAAGGAACTCAAGGATGAGTGCCAGATCTCACTGCCATATGAATGGAAAATGGCTAACATACATAGTCTCAATTTTTAAGAGGTTTTCTGGGAGTTAAAAAAAATACAAAAAAGTTATCCAGGTGTTTCTACCACTATCTGGTAGAAATTATAAGTGGACACATGAAAGAGGGAAGTCACATCTCACAAATCTGATGCGCAAAGTGATCGCTTCGTACAACTGGATTTCCAAAGCCTTTCAACAATGCTTTTCATTAGGAACCATTGCAGAAACTTCCAGGGGATGTGGAGAAAGTCTTCAAAATAATAAATAGCTGTTAAAGACAGAAAATTAAAAAAAAACCAAAACATTATAGAAGATGTTTGTAAAGGGCCCAGTGTCAAACCTGGGGTGCACCACCAGTGATTGGCCTCCAACTAGATGTTGTTCCACCAGTCATAGCCCTCTCAGCCCAGGCATTCAGCCAGTTTTTAGTCCACCTCACTGTCCACTTATCTAACATACACTTTATCACCATGTCTACAATGATGTTATGGGAAACAGCGTCAAAAGCCTTACTAAAGTGGAGAAAACGCCCACTGCTCTCCCCTTAGAAAACCATATTCAGACATTTAAACCAAAGGAAATTGTAAAAATCAATCATTATCTGCACATATTCGGTGACAATCTTTGAACTATCTGTTGCCTACTGAGGAAATAAGATATAGACCATCAGTTTAATGCTCAGTAACAATTGATAAAACATACTGAATAACCAGGGATTACTAGAAAAAGAGTAAAAAGCAAAACAGAAAACACTGTCAAATTAAAGTATTATCTACAATAGGAAATATTAAAAATGAAATTTTATGTCAATTATTTCCTTTCACTGGCACCTTCATCCACGCAGGATCCAGAGCACTGAGCCCTCCCTGGGTGTGGGCAAGTATAACACAGTTCAGTGGTTGGAGTACACCACTGAGTAACAGGGTTTCATCATTCCTTGATGAAACTGGATCACTATTTGCAATCAGAAACCTGGAAATCTTTTGGACAGTTGAAAACCAGGAAGGCGTGTTACTCTGTAACAAGGTAATTTAGCACATTCAACTTTTGCTGAACTGCTTGCTCTTTTTTACTTGGGCACCTCAGTTTCTTATGAAACATCCTACCTTAAGTGCCACAGCAGGTAAGGTCTGACCTTTGCACTGAATTCAGTCTCTTCTATAGCACTGGTCATCGTGTTTTCCTCAATTAACTCCCTTTGAGATTGAAAATTAAAATGAAAATAACAAGCTAGTTTAATTTTACATTGGTAAGGAGCACAAAGCTGACAAGTATTCAGCTGGAATGCATTTGACAGAACAGTTAATTCCATATTGATATAATTATGTAATAAAAATATCTTCCTGCAAAACTCTAATGACTTGCAGATCTCAGCTATGCCAGCATTGTAACTGCTATTAATAAATAGGGTAACTTCAACACTGCTCAAAAAAAAAAAAAAAATAAAATCACTTTCCATAGAACGAGTGGCATCAGTTACGTTTCCTTCCCTTAGTTTTGTATTAATATTGCCCTGCTAAATGGTTCAATCCAGTGTCAAACTGATATTGTTCCATGTAGTCTTTTAAAGCACTAGCCATTGGTTTTAAAACACTAAAAATGTAGCTCCATTACAGCCTTCTGGAAATTTTCCATTTACATTTTCAGTGTAAAAAGTTCAATATTTCTTTCCCATTTTCTGAAACATCCCATCAGTTTCATTAGAGTTTATTAAAACCAAAAAATCTGGCAGAAATTATTACAAAAAACTTTTCCAAACCAAGTTTTTTCTGCTCTTAGAAAATCTTTCAAACTTTAAATAATTTCCACATATGTTTGCAGAATTTATAGCCTATCTTTATACCAAAATGGTATCTAACAAAAAAGAATTTACAACCCCCTGACTTGTTTTCTTATCTTGATGGGCTAAACTTCTTTTGTAGTGCACAGGTCAGTTTAGAGTATTTGTTTGCATTTCATCTAACATATTCCAAATCAGACACAGATGTCAATAATGTGTATTTTCAGTTAAAAAGAAAAAAAGATACTTTAAGCATCCATCCCAAGACTCTACCAAAGCCAGAATTTTTACTGACTGTACATATAGATAAATGTACACACAGGGTCTCACCCTCTGGCCCATGTACACTTAGCTAATCTGCTACAGAAGTCTCCCCTTGCTGCAGGTCTTTCAATTTTGCTGCAGGTCTTTCCATTTTGCTTCCAGACTTGCAGCTAAAATTCTTTTCAGCTCATATCTTTTCTTCCCTATAGGAAATGACAGATATATTACATAATTCAAAGTTTCAAGCTCTTGTAATGTAAGATTTTAAGACTGAATGTTTATTGTTGAAAAGTTGCCCTTGCATTCTCATAATAAATACAGTATACTAAATATTAGACAGAGTAATTACTCAAAGTTGGTTTTAAAATATTTAAATTGAAGAATAAAACAATTCTATAAATCATTATGTACTATGACAAAGATACAATGCAGGTATGTAACACACTCTGTACAGCCTAAAGAACAAGAGCAAGTAATTTGTACCTGCTTAAATTTATACCTTTGATAACATTTCCATTTATAGTGACAATCTAGTACTGGAGACACAGATCAGAAGTATATTTTTATGCATCTTCAGCTAATATGCTCCTAGGTTATCAGTATCTTAAAATGTATTTTCTTTAAAAATGCTTAAGTAGCACTCAGTTAAGCTAAAATATCATTCCCCATGTCAGAACTTTATGTGAAAAGAGATATTCCCTTCTTTATTTTCTTCACGTCTCAAGCAAAGGAATTCTAAGCATTAAAATTTGCTAAAAATAAGTTCCATGTTTATAAAAAGCCAGTCCTGTACTCTTACGCCTGGAAGATATGAATGTTTCCATGATTCTACTCCATGGACAACATGAATAAATAATAAGGCATCAGACTGCAGCTGTGTGTTACCATTTGTGCTGCCTGCTTGGCTGCCTGCCAGAACCAGTGTTTCCTGCAGGTCTTCCAGATTTCATTCCAAAGCTGCAAGAAGCCTTCACTGGTTTTTAGCCCCTTTAGTTAGAAAACTACATATTTTTTTTTTTTTAAATTGAGTCCTAGCAGATGGATCTTGAGCTTAAAGTTTACTTTATATTGGAAATAAGAGCAATGATAAATTATTGGCCTATACTGCGAGTAATGTTTAAAAGAAATTTCTGAGCCTTGAAAAGAAAGCTCACATTTCAAAAATGCAAAAATTAGAAAGTGCACAGGGAACGGAAAACAATAACATTTCTATTACCTTGCTAAACCTTCTCTCCTGAATGTGTTGTATTTTATATTTAAACCCTTCAAAACACAGATAATCTTCTTGTTTGTATCACAACGTAGATGTGATTCTCATTCCAGCCTCTAGATCATAACATCTTATTTTCTCATCTTACACATTGCAATAGCAAGAAGGAATTATGGTCAGATATAGGCCTGGGGATGAGTTCCTGACCCTAATTAAGCCAATCACAAAATTCTCATTAACTGCAGCAGAGTCCACCATGAGTCATTAAATACAATGAATTCCCTGGGCTCTGAGTGCAGCCCATTCCCCCTCCCAGGGGCTGAGCTGCCTCTGGTCACAGCCAGCCCTGGAACGATGCAGCTCAGCTGCCTGGGGAGGAGGCTGCTGAGAAAAGAGCTGTGCCACGACCAGTGGTAAGAGGAGGGTCTCTTCTCCTTGGATGGGGGCCCTTGCCTGGGCTATGCTGTGGGCTGTGCCCTCACTGATCTGGACCTGCTGAGTTGTTTTCCTGG